GAGACAGTGTCAAAGGCTTTACTGAAGCCAAATGACTTTGCTGTTGTGAAATCATGTAGCCTTCTGGATAAAGGGTTTTGTAGTGTCACCTAGTGGCTAAATACATATACAGGGAATGTCCCCCTGACACCTTCCAAGCTCTGGGTCCTGCTTTGTGAGGAAAAATATGAATGAGCACAGAAACAAAACAAACAAACAAACAAAACCAAACAAAAAAAATTCCTAAGCCTTAGGTAAAAAGAAGCACTGATAAAATAAAATCCTCAGGAGATAGATGAGAAGGGAATACTGGTGAAATTGGGGATGGGCTAAGAGGATGTCATAGGTGTGTGTATTAAATGTCCAGAAGTTCAGACAAAAACTATGAAAGATGAAAAATTAGGGCTGACCTCCAACTTTTCAGTACATGCTTGTGACACAGCAGAAAGTGAGAGGAGAAGGGGCCCAAGAGCCCCCTGGCTTGGTGAAACGAGAGATTCTGAGGCTGACGAGGACAGCCTACAGTCTGCCCAGGCTTCCATAGGGAAGTTAGCTCTTTCCATTCCCCCGGCTCTGCCTGCGTGCCCTGCGGGGCACTGCAAGGTTTGCTGTGTGGGACTTCCAGGCGTGTAGGAGCCCTTCCCAGGGGCATCAGGGGGTTTGCTCTGTGCAGTGTTACCTTGCCACCAAGCGCATGCAACACACATCAGCTCTGGCGACTCACAAAAGGGCTGCAGCATGCCTGCAAAATCTGGGGCCATCTGCAGGGCTGGATAATATATAGTGGGCAAGTAAGTAGGGGCTGGATAACACACAGCAGGCAGGTAAGTCAGGCTTGGCACATAGGTGTGCAAGAGCTGTGGTCACCTGGGAGAATCCAGCACAAAATGCATGAGCTCTGTGCGTGGGTGCAAGAGAAATGCGGCTGCTTCTTCCATCGGCTCCCACCGCTGACCCTTGCCTTGCCTTTTCCCTGGGCTGTCCCTGGCAGGAGTCACTGCCTGCACCCCTGAGCATTACACCACTGACATAAGCTCTGCCTTAAACTCACGGCTGAAATCCAGCCCTGCTGCTCCAGATATTTCCTGCAGAAGATGCGTAGAGGAAGAAGGGGTTGGAGGTGTCCGCAACGTAGCCCCTGCCTGCCCCCTTAATTCTCTGGAAAGTTGAGCTAGGGAAGGAAGTGAGCGATGTACCCTAAAGAGAGGACCTAAAGCAGAGCAAGGTGCTGGGAAAGAGGTGCGACTCTCCCACGCAGGGCAGCGATGTGCCAGCTCTCACCTGGGCTGAGTGCCGCTCGTCTGGCCCTTATGGTGCGGTTGCTCTGCTGCTCTGTGCCTTTCTCTCTGCTGGCATCTTCTGGGAGCCTGACAGCCATGGCAAAGAGCAAGTATGCTGAGAAACCACAAAAATTTAGGTGTTTCTGTGGCTGTTTCCATCTCTCTCTGTCCTGCATTGTAGCTAGTGGTTGCTTTGTAGAAGGAAGCTGTGTGTATCCCAGGCTCAGGAGGGTTGACAGGGATGGCATGGGATTTGTCCTTCGTCTGCTGCTGGGAGCTGCTCTCTTACCATGGACAGTCTCCTGTTGCACTTTTGCTGGCAGTTTCTAAGTGCAATTTTAATACCAACAGCTCAGAACAGCCTGTACTACCTGTCTGATGCAGGCTTGAGAGTTATGTCCCACACTTTCTGTTGCTGCACTTTTTATTTGTGTGGAAGAATTTAAAAAGACTTCCCAGGCACATGTGAAAGATACGAAGAAACACAGAGGATCTGTGAGCATCTCCTGGAGAAAGGGAGAGAAGAAAATATAGAATTGTAACGGGAAAATTCAGGACGTTGATAGATGGTATTGCACAGCCTGTGCTTACCCTGGCATCCAGCCTTCAGGTATGCACTCTGCCTGCATTGTGGTTAGATGTTGGGGCAAGATCTGGCATGCAAACCTCTGTGTGTGTGTGTGCGTGCCCTGCTTTCCCTTGGGACATGCAGGTAGGCAGGGAGTCCAGTGCAGTCTTATCGGGCCCCTTGTCTGGGCAACTAGAGGAAAAGGACTGAGGGGAGCATTTGTGGATGTTTACCAGTTTCTCTTTGTGGTGAGTTTCTCAGAAATAGGTTTGTATTTCTGTGTATAATGTTTTCTCAACATGTTTTTTAAAGCTGAATTAATATTAGCCTTGTGTCTTGTCTGGGGTTGGTCCCGTGAGATGATGCCATCTGACCTGTGTCTGCTCCTCCTGTGGCTGGTGCTGGGCCTGGAGATGAAGGGTAACGGTGCTGGAAAAGCAAAAGCTGTTGTACGTCCCCCCTGGGCTCCTGTGTATGCCCGGGTGCCCTACCCCATGGTCTGCCCTCCTGTGGGAAGAGAAGGAGATGTTCCACGGGCAGCTGCCCTCCAGAGGTACCACCCAGCCTTGGAGGGTGGAAAGGGAAGAGGTCAAACATGCAGCTCCAGTCTGTTTATTTCTTTGAGAGGGGTTGGTGTTTCCATCTGAGCTGGATGGTGGAGAGGCTGAGCAGCCCAGCTGATGCAAAGCTTCACGCAGCGTTGTGTTTTCCCATCCCACAGAAAGCAGACCATCCTGTTATTCAGTGTGGTAAGGAAGGCTGCTTCGGGGGCTATCATGAATAAGGCTCAGTGTGCTTTGAAAAAGGTGGCATTTTCTTTCTTAGTCCGCTATTGAATTCCAAGGTCACTGTGTACAGACCGTGAATATTTATTTTATTGATTTCTCTAGACTGCCCTAAGTTCAGCTCTGATTTGGTGCTGCAATACTTTGAGGGTGACAGTTCCTGTTCAAAATAGTGCAGAGCCATCTTCTAGCCCTGCTCTTGGACTCTTGGGGAGGACCATGAGTAGGGGCTGTGTGCCCCAATGACAGTCAGAATTTGCAGAAATGATGTGATATTCCTAGGGGAAGCCTTTAATGAACTATTTCTGAAATCAAATCGAGGACTGACTTAATGGAAGGTTGAATTGTGTGGCAGTGCTGATGGCATGAAACACCTTTCTATTTTCTTTACCCTGGTCCGGGCATTTAAAAAGAGAGAAGTTTACACTCGATGATAAGCAGGAGAATTTTGCTTATTTGCTTGGCTCTGGTGAGAAATCACCTGTGAAGAAAGGCTTGAGGGTGGTCTGCTCTACATGCCTGAGCTAAGGGAGCCCTCCAAGATCTATATGCAGCATAGAGTGTCAGGAGGCCTCTCCACTTCCATTGGCAGCTCCTCCTCATATTGGGTTGCCCCCTCTCCCTGGAGGCATTTTGAGAGGCAGAACATGGGACCTTCCCTGCAGTCTCCTCCCTTCCTTGCTCTTACCAGAGGCAAGGACCTATGCCAAATGACAGATGAGGTATCTTAATTGCTTAGCTTGTTTAATATGCATGGTTAAACATATACCATATCCTTCAGCTGCTGTAGAGTGGAAATGTTATAAAGCAAAAGGTCGGTTTTCTGCTGCTTCCCTCCAGAGTATGAAGCACAACTGTAATGCATAATGCTCTCTTCTGGGCAGTGTACAAAGCCTAAAATGTAATTGTTTCTATCTATCCATCTCCACATGCATTTTGTTTTTATTCCAGGTACATAAATCTCTGCCCTTTGAGGTTCTTCAGCAGATGGATGCTGGTCTGATTAAGGTGTTGATAACGGGTATTACTAATGGGAGCACAGTGGTAAGTTTCAATTTACTGATTGCAGAAGATGTGGATATCTACTACATCATCACCACTTTTCGTGATGCCTTTGAACACAGCTCCTATTTCACAGTTGACAAGAGCAATCTCTCCATAAATGGTAAGGAGCAGCTTGTATCCCAATAGTTCTTCAGAACTAGAAAGATGATAAAGCCTATTATTAATCTGTATTTTTTGAGGTGAAAGTATCTGTAAAACAGATGGATGAAAAGCCATTCTCTCTCCTTATATTGCTCCTGCTTATCCATTCAATAATCTTTTTCAGAGAACATCAAAAGATTAAATAAGTGAGGTACTCCTGATCCAAAAGGACAAAACCAACTGGTCTTTTTGTCTATAGCTAGCATTAATTTTATAGAGAAGAAGATACAGAGACGTTAGAAATAGTGGTCACAAATTAGAGGGTTTTATAAGCTACCAGTGGAAACAGGTCCCTGTACACGGACATAACTAGCTCTGTTTAAAATAATTTTGAAACACATTTCCCTCTGCTTTGCTCCCGGGGTTAGAAGCGTCCCCTTGGGCTGTTTATCAGTTTAGGAGGATAGGAGCTCTGCAGCAGGGTGCCTACATTTCAGTGAGTATCTGCTGAGCATCACTGGCAGCACAGCTCCTGGAGGGTTTTGTCAGTGCCTTGCAATTAGCCCTCTCGGCTGTGCTTCCAATGTCCCACCTTTTCTAGACCTAGCAGCTGCCTGACAAGTACAGTAGACTATCACACCTAAGAGGTGTAATCCCGCCATGATATCATGATGGTATGACCATGCTCCAGTTTCAGAACCATCACATTTTCATTTATACACTCTCAACCTTTGCCTTTTGCTTGAATATACCCAACAGATTATGATGAGTGCAAAAGCGAAGAAGATGACTGCTCCCCAGATGCATCGTGCCATAACACACTTGGGTTTTACCGGTGCAGCTGCAATGAAGGATTTGCTGATGTGCATCCAGAAAGGCCTGGAAGAAGCTGTGAAGGCAAAATTTTTTTTATTGTCTAATGGCTAACTGAAAGCTTAGTGGTCTGTTCTTTATTGGATCATGGTCACACTTGCCACAGGTCTTGAAATTTTGCCAGGGATGAATTTGGTTCATTGTTTTCACCTGGATCCTAATGGGAAAAGTCTTGCAGCAGACTTTAAGTATTTCTGACTGTAATACTCCGTCATGAGAGTTTACTATATTAATATTTAATGCTGTCTTTGTAAAGTTCTTTTAACAGTCCTGTTTTTTTCATATTTGCCATTAAAATTAGATAGGATTGTCAAGATTTTTAGTTATTTTCATTAGCAGTAGCAGAAGGGACAGCAGAGATAACAGAGGGGGTAACAGAAAGCACTAGGTACGTGGTTTGACCTCTGTATGGCAGCAGGGATGAAATGTTGGTATTAGAAACTACTTTTTTGTATGAGTCAATTCATCTAGCTTCTCTCTTTCCTTAAATCATTTGTTAGCTGACATATGATGGGTCTTTAAGCTCCTAAATTCTTTGGGCTTCTTCAGTAATTTATATTTGTTTTTGTAACCACAGCGATAAGCTATGCTTTGGCTGAAGTCACAAGGATTTGTCAACTGATACCGACTTTTGCTCAGTTTTGTTTAACTAAGATATTTAGCATCATGATAATGAGCTTTTGGGAAATTCAGCTCTGAAAGAGCTCAGACTTTTCTTTTTCTTCCTCTTACGTTCAAATCAGCAACTTTTAAATTTGAGGCATTTCCAAAAGCTGGGGAGTTCCAGAGGGAGATAGATATATATATATATATGTATAGATTTTATATGTTGCTTGGGAAATAGATGCTAATTGTATAACCCATTAAAATTATTTAAGAGATTTTTTGTGCGATGAGACACATCCTTTGTGTTTCACTGAAAATGGAGTTTATTATCTTGGTGCTCTCTAAGTCAGTGATGGATGAATATATAGGTTGTTTCTACCAGCAAAAAGCCATGGGGTAACCCCAGAGCCTGTGCTGGTTGTCGTGTGTGCGACAAACACATTGATCTCAACCTGTGCTTCCCCTTTTCCCCTGCTTGCTTTCTTCCTGAAACCATTAAAGATTGCTACGAACACATTCGTTCAGCTCCCCACTGTGTCTCTCAGGACACATATGTGCAATGTGGGCCTGCTACATGAGGTTTGTCCTGCACTTCCCCAAAATGGGTTTTCCAAAACGCTAAGGATCATATCTTTTGGGTACCAACTGGTCACAAATGGGGCCAGGTTTTTTAACAAACTCTGCTCCTGTTTATACCCCACATCCAGAAGTGTGCAGTCTCTTACAGTACTAGGCAAAAAACCATAAACACTTGCTGAGCAACTTCCAGCTGGGGATCTCTTGCAAGCACTGATATTCCAAAAGCTAAATATACGTGTTTACCATGAGCACACTAATTATTGCAGCTCTCAGGAAATAAAGGACTTCAGCTTTACTCACAGGCACTTCATGTATGTCTTGCACTCTTTCATAAAGAAAAGCCACAGCTTTGGCAGTGAGTAGAGCGGGTTAAAAAAACAAAAGAAGATAGTTTCCTGCCGGTAACTGTGAATTTCCTCCGAAGGGTTTGCTCTTACCTTATGAAATCAATTTGAATCTGTAAATTACAACAATACCTTTATTTTTGGCACTCTTCAGCATTTCCTGTCAGCCAAGAGGCAACACTGACGGATGAGAGACCTGTACACAGCACACTTTTACCTGCAACATCATTGCAAACTTCAACTTATGTTTCCTCCCCTGCTTCATTGGACTTCTCTACTGCTGAGCACAAAGCTCCGGAGGACACCGTGTTCTCCAGCGTGGTGCTGCCTCCTCTCACCACAAATTCTGTGTCAACTCCTGACGTTTCTCCTCAAGCATCTCCTGTCCCCGTCGTTAAACCTTCCCAGGAGATTTCCATTAAAGATGCAGTGAGAGTGTTCTGTGAAATAGAGAAGATTGTCCTTGCTATCCAGAAGAGATTTTTACAGCAGGAGTCTATCCCGGAAACCTCCCTGTACCTGGGGGAGCCTCGCTGCAATGTGAGCATCAGCAACGGCACTCACGTTGTGCTGCAGGCAGGCTGGAACGACTGTGGCACTGAAGTTGAGACTGTAAGTCCCCTGAGCTGGTGCATGCAAAGAAGCCCCGGAGCTTTTTGTTTTGGTCTTGGGGGTAGGGTGAGGAGGGGGGCAATGGCAGATCCTTAGCTAGGGGTACAGTCTGGTAGTTGCTGACATGTTGGACAAAGAAATTTCTTTGGAGAAAGAAAACCTCTTCCTGTGAGTGGAAAGTTACCGCGCTGTTTGGGGAGGAGGGCAAGCAAGAAAGAGAAGGGGAATCTTTGGGGTCAGGCAGCAAAACTCAAGGCCTTCTCAAAACTGAGAGTCACTTCCCCTGTCTCTCTGGGTTCCCTCTGCAGCTGTCAGAAGCTTCTCTTTTCTTAAAAGCAATTTCATTATCATATTTAGTCAAATACCCCAATTGCTACCAGTAATGGGGACAAAGAGTGATGGCTATCTCTTCGGATCCCAAACAAAACGCTATGCTCAGGCCATGCCAAAGTACAGAAATTCCCTTGTGGAGCAGACTGAGGAAGAGAAGGAAGGCTGGTGGATTTTCATTGTCTCTCTGTACAGCAAATAAGATACTAAAGGTTTAATCTGTTTGATTTTTGCAGCCAGGAGAATGGAGAATTCCTAAGCACTTGAAGCTGGTAAGCCTGTAGCTCTATTATATCCCTAGATATGCCGATATTCACAAGTTGTGCTTTCTTCTTTCTGTGTTCCAGAACATGACTAATACCATAGTGAAAACCATCCTTCGGAATGACATTTCTGCTCAGGGAGTAATCCACCATTTAAAAGTTGCCAGTCCCATTCACTGTGTGTTTCAAAACGATCTCTTGACTTCCTCTGGATACACTGCAGAAGGGTAAGTAACAACTCTCTCTGCTTTGAAATGCTGTTGTGTGGCCGAGTGCTGCTGCATCAGAAAAATCCCCAGGAACCTTAGCTGTACCCAGTGACGGCCCTTGCTATGCCAAGTAGTCTGCCATCTTGTAAGTCCTGTGCTCAGGTGATCCCTGCTATGGGCTTCTCTCCTACTCCATCTAATGTGTCAATAGATCCAACAGCCAACGAGATTGGCAATTGCCTGGCTAAACCATAGATGAAAATAAACCTTTGGCAGCTACTGGTTCAGGTTCGGGAGCCAGAATTCCTGGCTCCTCTTTGCCTTCCTGGGCAATCATGTGTAGCAATAACAGTCTTTTCCTGCTTTTGGAACATAACAATGATGTATCTTTTCAACTGATGTAGGCATGCAGACTGCTATGTGGGTGCTGAGGATGGCAATTTTTAACCCCCACAAATCCTTTTTTGATCAACTTGGAAAAAAGAGAAGATATGTAATGCAAATACTTTTTTATGGAAGGCCCCATCTTCAAGTAAGATGGAATCTAATTCACCGTTCACAGAAAATCAAACCCACGCTCACAGAAAAGGTGGCAGCACAAGCTTTGCTCTGATGGTGAATCTTCTCCCTTCGTACAAGTGCGCCTCCTCTCTCTTGCCTAGCACCATGCTTAAGCTGTCGTCACCAAATCCACTTTCCATTTCCTAACCCTCCAGACATTGTATTTTCCTTTCTACCCCCCTGCAAAGTCTTTGTCAGGCCCCGTCTCTCTGAGCTCTGTAATCTTCTCCTGTCCTTCACTTACTGTTCAGATTTGTCCTTCTCCTTAACTTTTTTGGCTCTTCTCTTCTTCACTGAGCTTTTACTCTCCTTATTTTGAACTTTAAGACAGCTCATAGTCTTGTTTCCCTTCAGCTCCACTCAAATATCTCTCTCTGCTCTATTTGTATTGCCAAGACATTCCACCCTTTGGTTTTCCCACTTGCGTTTCCATGGTCCCTACCTTCCCAACTAAAAACTCGATGCTTTTTCACCCTTTCCTCTTGAACAGTGTCCTAACATCCTGGACTGCAGGTCACTCTTCACTACTTAAATGTGCAAAAGGTGGAGAAACAGGCACTGATTTATAGAAACACACAGTCAAATTTGTGGTCTTTAAAGCAGATTAATTGTTGTTTCAGACTTTACACCATCTTTGAGGATTTGCATGGATCTGGACACTTCAGAACAGAAATGCAGTTGTTTATTGGAAACTCCCCAATACCAAAAAATTTCAGTGTCTCTGCCAGTGATGATGTACTGATTGAAGTGGGGATCCAGAGAGCAGACAGCAAACTCAAGGTGGTCCTCACTGACTGCTGGGCGACTCCAACTAATAATTCAGTGGATCCCTTCTCGTTTGCTTTTATCAGCAACAGGTACAGCAATGCCACTTGCAAATAGCATGTGCCATGCCTTAGATCTTCCAGTGGTGCTGACTAATAATGTGTAACATTTTAAATGCCTTTTATGTGTGTCCTCACCATTCATGTACGCTGTCCCTTACCATTTGACTGGTCACACCTTCTTTGAACAAGGAAGTTAAGTATGAAAAGAAAATGTTTTCAAAGGGTAATGTGGTAGTTGTTTGAGTTTGGTTGTCTTCCCCATAGTTTTGTAAAGGAATTGTACTTTTGACCTGAAGAAATAGGTGGTTTTGGCAGTCAGTAGTGAAAGAACGTTGAAAAGTGTGTGCTTTATCTATTTCTCTGTAGTTCAGATATTACCAAGAGTTAGTTGATTCCTATGTGTTGTGACTCACAGACAATATTAATGCAGCCTCTGGTAAATGAAGACGTTTGTTCCTGTCTGGATACCTGATCTCACCCCGATGTCATATTACCTGGGCTCACCCGCCACCTAAAAATACAGGCTAGAGCTTTTACTCAGTAACAAAAGCTATTCCCTTTAATATGATGTTCTTTCACTTTGTTCTTTCTGCCACTTTCCCTTCTTTTCCAACTCTCCAACCACTTCTCGAATCTCCTATTCTATTTTGATACTGTGAGAATAAAGCAGCAAATTAGCCCCTTATCACCCCTGCATTCCTGGAGAGTTGCTTCATGACGGGTCTGGCTGTGGCTTTCTAAAGGAGCCTTACATCCTGAGTTATGTGCTATAACCGCAACATGCCTTCTATAACTCCAACTGCTATGTATGTGTTTTCTCTTCCTTTTCAGCTGTCCCATCCCAAATACGTACACCACACTGCTAGAGAATGGGAATTCAAACAAAGCACAGTTTAAGATGAAAATTTTTTCCTTTGTCAACAATTCTGTAGTTTACCTACACTGCAAAATGCGTATTTGTATGGAGACACCAGGAAAAACCTGCAGGACGGTAAGCGTTTTGCTCCGATATGCTATTTTTCTCCGACATGTCATATGCAGTCCTGCTATGGAATTGAAGGAGTAATGTTTCAAAACAGGGTTTAGACTAGCTCTTGAAGTTTTCCTTCATTCTCTGCTGAGAGCAGAGAGGAGTGGGAAGAACTACAACCATATGGAAGTGTCCACCTTTCTTCCTGTTCCTCATCCTCACAGCTAAAAGCATGGAGCTTGCACAGAAATGGGGAAATCCAAGTCAGGGCATCTGAGGTTCTGCATAGGGGTGGCTATAAGGCAATGAACAGAAGTCACAATGAGATGGGCTGTTCAGAAACGTGTCGACTCAGATGGACATGTCACAAAAAAGCGAGCACCCATATTGACAGTGTCAGCAGG